GGCAGGAGAATTGCTTGAACCCGGGAGGCAGAGGTTGCAGTGAGCCGAGATGGCGCCACTGCACTCCAGTCTAGGTGACAGAGCAAAACTCCATCTAAAAAAAACCCCAAAAAACAGAACCTCCAAGAAACTCTGACTTAAATCAGTCTGAGGTGTGGCCTGAGCAAGTTTTTTTAAAAATTTTTAATTGTTTTTGAGACAAAGTCCTGCTCTGTCACCCAGTCTGCCTCCCGGGTTCAAGTGGCTGGGATTACAGGTGTCCACCAACATGCCTGGCTAATTTTCTGGATTTTTAGTAGAGATGGGGTTTCACCATTGACCAGGCTGGTCTCAAACTCCTGACCTCAAGTGATCTACCCGCCTGGACCTCCCAAAGTGCTGGGATTACAGGCGTGAGTCACCGCGCCTGGCCTGCCCGTTTGTTTTCACACCTCCTTTAAGAGCACAGACATCATGATTCTGCCATCTTGCCATCTCTGTTGTGCCTTTGCATCCGGTCCGGGGTCACAGTTGCCAGATGTGGGTTGCCCTCCCAAACGGGAGTCTCGGGAGGACAGTATGGGCCCTCTGTCGGTCTCCAGAACCTGGGTAAGTGAAGGAAAGAATGAAAGAACAAGTGGCCGGGCCCGGTGGCTCATGCCTGTCATCCCAGAACTTCGGCAGGCCAGGCGGGCGGATCACCTGAGGTCAGGAGTTCGAGAGCAGACTGGCCAACATGGTGAAACCCTGTCTCTACTAAAAATACAAAAATTAGCTGGGCGTGTTTGTGCACACCTGTAATCCCAGCTACCTGGGAGGGTGAGGCGGGAGAACTGCTTGCACCCAGGAGGCGGAGGTTGCAGTGAGCTGAGATTGTGCCATTGCACTCCAGCCTGGGTGACAGGGCGGGACTCCGTCTCAAATAAATAAATAATAATAAATAAATAAAAATAAATAAATCAAGCAATTCTTGGCCACAGTAGGTGCTCAGTCAAGGTAATTAAGGGATTGGATGACAGCTGATGGATTCCCAGGTGCCTGGGTCGGTCACACTGCCCGTGCACTCTCGCAACTAGGAGGGTCCAGACAGGGCGCGCGCACCAAGGCACCACGGGGGCGCCGTGGGGGTGACGCGCAGGTCCCGGCGCGGTCGTCATGGTGCGCCTGCCCACCAACTCCCCTTTGTGTATTTGGCGCCTCCGCAGGGGCTCCCGGCAGGGTTCCGCGCTGCACGGCCGCAGGTAGGGGCCGATAGGGCTCTGAAATCCCGGAGAAGCAAGCCCGGACCAGGGGGAGTGAGAGTTCGTTAGGGCGCGGCTCCGGGACTCTGCGGGGTCGGAAACCGGAACAAGTGTGCGCAGTGGGAGGAGCCCACGGCCGCGGAGCGCTTTCCTCCTCCCTGCTCCCGGCCCGCAGTGAGGGTAACCGGACCGGCACCTGCAGATGACAGCTGGGGCTGGACAAATGCCGGGCGATGCACGGGCCTCTGGCCGGCCTCAGAGCTGTTCAGCACGAGCCCGCGGCTTCCAGCCAACCTGCCTGCTATCCGCACGGCGCTCCCGGCTTTCATTCCCCCGAGTCTGAGACTCCTGGGCGCCCCCTGCTGGACGGAGCCGGGGCCCAAGAGGACTGGGTTCCTGTGCATGGGGGTTGGGAGCCGGTTTGAGGGTAGGAGGTCGTTTTTGTAGTGGACAAGGTGAACGGCGGAAGCCAGGTGGTGACCCAGCTCCCCAGGCCTCGGGGCAGTCAGTTCACTCCAGAGGGTAGTGTGATGGCCGTGGGCCCGCTGTACACACAGGAAGGGCTGTACCATCTCCGTGGGTGACGGGGTAAGGGAGAGGTCCCTGGACGGAGGTGTCGGCTCTGGGTCTCTTTGGAAAGATAGTGACAGACTGGGAAGTAGCGTGGGCTAGATCTGGGGGTGGCCGAATGAGGAAACTGATGGGGACGAAGACTCCTGCTGGCCTCCGGGACCCTGGAGAAGGGGTTAGGGGCCTGGGGGACAGAGAACACAGCGCTATCCCTGGAGATGGGGGATAGGCTTGGACTACAGCCAGATCTAGAGACCTCCAGAGTGCGGGAACAGGGCCGTGTCCTCTGGACCTGCTGCCAGGGTTTCCTCATCCCGTGGTAACTGTGCGCAGCTCCTAAGATGGTGCACAATCAGTGGCCCTGACTTGGAACTGGCGCTGGCTAGAGGCCTCCTAGCCTCACCTTCTCTATGTATCTGTAAAATGGGCCCCTTCACCTGTCCCACCCTCCTCCCCAGGCAGCCATGGGCTCGGGATGTGAAGTTCTCAGGAGACATTTCCCAAGTCCCTCCTCTCCCCGCAGCCTCTCTTTTCATCCTCCCATCCACCCCAAAGGGCTCACCCATCATCATGACACCCTTTTAAGGACGAGGGAATTGGGAGGCGGGGAGGTCGAGTCTTTTCCAGGGTCCCACAGTGGTGGTTTCAAGGTTTCTGGCTGAGAAGGGGGAGCTTAGGGGGCCTTGGAGCCCCGGGGCCTCCTGATGGCCTGTCCAACCCCATCCTGAGTGACAGCGACCTCAGCTGGGGCCTAGGGGTGCTGGGAGAGTGGACACCCAGCCCAAGCCACGTGAGCTGAGGCTGCAGCCCCATCACATCACAGCCCCATCAAGGACAGGGCAGTGAGTGAGGCTGTGGGCAGTGGGGCAGACAGACGGGTCCTAAGGACCTGAGGATCCCCTCCTGCCCCTTGCAGTGGCTGAAGGGCTTCCGGAGCCCAGAGCTGTCCATCTTTGAGGTGACATGGCACTGAGCAGGTGTGGGGCAGGTGGCCCTTGGCTTGTCTACCTGGATGGCTTTGACTCAGAGCCTGAGGTGGACACGGTGGTGGATGAAAAGTCCAAGGAAGATAGGTGTGGTGACTCACGCCTGTAATCCCAGCACGTTGGGAGGCCGAGGCAGGTGGATCAGCTGAGGTCATGAGTTCGAGACCAGCCTGGCCAACATGCTGAAACCCCATCTCTACTGAAAATACAAAAAATTAGCCAGGCATGGTGGATGGCACCTGTAATCTCAGCTACTCGGGAGGGTGAGGCAGGAGAATGGCATGAACCTGGGAGGTGGAGGTTGCAGTGAGTCGAGATGGCGCCACTGCACTCCAGCCTGGGCTACAACGCGAGACTCAGTCTCAAAAAAAAAAAAAAAAATCTGAGAAAGACAACAAGGAAGGTGTTGGGGGGCAAGGAGAAGGTGGGAGGGCAGTGACGGAGGAGTGGGGTCCGGGGGCCCCGTCCAGGGGTCACTGGTGTCTTGGCTGCAGATGCCAGGATAAGGAGGTGAGGGGGACCCCGAAGTGGATTTAGAGAATGGAGAAAGAGGAGGAGGTAAAGATTGAGACAGGTGGACTGGGGTGAAGGAGGTCCCTGGGCTACTGGGAGAACAGGATCTTCATCGACAGGGCTGTGGGAAGCCACTGAAGGGTGCTGGGCAGGAGAGGGGAACGATCAGAAGAGACCCTGGCAGGATGTGGTGGCTCACACTTGTAATCCCAGTACTTTGGGAGACCAAGGTGGGTGGATCACCTGAGGTCAGGAGTTCGAGACCAGCCTGGCCAACATGTTGAAACTTCGTCGCTACTAAAAACACAAAAAGTTAGGCAGGGGTGATGGCAGGTGCCCGTAATCCCAGCTACTCGGGAGGCTGAGGCAGGAGAATTGCTTGAACCCGG